CTGGGGTTCAAGCAAAGCAAGGCGAAGTGTCAGATCCCGAGAAGGCTCAAAATCCTGCACCGGGCGGGGCGGTGGAAAGTCCGCAAGCGACAAACTCGAGGACGATTACCATGCTCAAATGGTTGAACTTCGAGTTCAACGCGAGCAAGCTCAAGATGCGGAACAACATCTATGTGATGATCGAAATGAATGCCGTCAAACAGCTCAACATCTCCAATACATCGCCAACCAAGAAGATGGTTCACCTACTGATCTAGGGCCTAGTGGTGGTGGCGGCGGAGGTGGCGGTGGTGGTTCGCCTTCCCGAGATCATGATCACCGTGATGGTGATCCTCCGGGACCGCCTCCTCCGGGCGATCCTGCTGGTGGAGACGATCCAGAGATCACTGAGGTGAAGATTTCAAGACGAGACGCAGACAAGGTTGTTGTGCCTCCGTACCCGAAGGTGACTCATCTTGACAGGTGGATGGCGCAATGCATTGTGAATGTCTTGAGTGCGTGTGCAGACCCAAACCAAGAAGATTGGATGCATAGTTGGAACCCACCTTCAAAGCATTCCCAGACGTTGAACACTTGAACAAGTCAGGATGCGTCAAGTTCAGGAGCATCGACGTGAAGCTTGGTGTCGCAATGACCGCCATGCTTAAAGCTCCCGCTGACCAAGCTGCTGATTTGCACTTGGATGTGAACCGAAAGGCCAATCAGTACGTTCGAGTGGAAAGATCATCAAGGGTCGAAAGATCATTGCCATGCTGCCATGATGTACGAAAGCTTCATTCAGAACCCGTGATCGTTTGGACATGATCGTAACCTTGGAGTACTGATCAAGCTTCAGTATCAAGGCGACAAGGCGATAGCGGGATGAACGTGTTCAAGCAGACATGGTTGGAAGTGCTCGCACGGATGCGACCTGAAGATGTTCCATCAGAAACAGCTCGTCGAGATACTCTTCACAGCATGATCAAGGATTCTTCTACGCCCTGATTCAGGAGTAGACGAAAGGATGCAAGAAGACGATGATATCATGGTCAGTTCCTCGAGGAAACCATCGACGAAGAGGACAGCCGGAGGAAGAACTCGAAGAGCCATCTCATCCTGATCAAGAATTTCACAACGCAGTGAAGACGAAAGCAATGGCTGCTCTCAACATGTTGGCTAGAAGCATCCAGATTGGCGAATGCACTGGTACAGTTTGCGTCTTTTGCGGAGGCGATCGACATTCTTTCCGAAATTGCGATACCAATTTTCCTTCATTGCGGCAGTGCTAAGCCTGGTTCAAGATCATGGAGGAAGCCATCAACTTCTACGCCAACCAGCTGATTCGTGATTCTTCTCAACTTCAAGGTCCACATCATCAACGACAATCACAAGCGTCCGGATGCATGGACGTGGATGAGGTCAACAGTCAACAGTTCAGCTTCTTCGACAAAAAGGCCGAAGGCCAAGGCCCGGCCGAGGCGCGGTGGCGAAGCTGTCGGCGGTGGTATAATTATCATCAGGTAGATTGCCGCAACATAGTGGGAAATCACCGGGGGAACTTCCATGTTTGTGGTGAAGAAATCGGTCAACTTGGGCCGGTGAGCCACGATGAAGTGGCGGAAATCATCAAACTGCCCCAGACATGGGCCTCCCGCAACGAGGTGATGCTCCGAAGTATCCACGTTCTCAAGGAAGTTTCCATGGCTGTGCGAACCCTGCCTACAAGAACATCGGCGACAACATGAGATGTGGACTCCTGGAGCTCCTCCCGTCCAAAGGTGCATCTTTTGTGCACGAAGACTGGGCTGTAGTCAAGCTCCGCGACTTATCAACTATAACCGCGAGAAAGACGCGAATTGGGCACTACCGTGCATTCAATCAGACTTACAGCATCGCCTGGGTCGAGCGCATCAATGCGCTTCAGTCAGTCGACGTCAGATTTCGACTATTCCGTGTGACGAAGATGGATGGGTGAAGATCGATGACACCCTGGCGATGGAAATTCTGTGGACGCATGAATCCCGAAGGATTGATAATCCTCTCGACCATCACGACCGCCAACGGCGTACCAGACAGCTGAAACCGTGTACAACTACTGTCCGAAGTCCGAAGGCAATCATCTCGATGCTACAAGGCTCAACAATGCGAAGATCAGATTCCACTTCTTGGGCATCAGGATTACGGACCCACGGAGTGGTGATGAGGCTGTGGCGGATCTGCTCCCTTTCCTGACGGTGTTGTTACACGCGCTGTGCAGGTCTACGAAACAAAGAGGGCACAAGGAACTAATCGGTCTACAGACAAGGACCTCGCTCTCAACGACAACTGGGTTCGACCCTGGGCGGTTCGTGCAGCCAGCGGTCACTCAATGACATCTAACCCTGACAAGATGCTCATGAGAGTCAACCCGGACAAGTTCGCAAGTCATCCTTCCATGCCATTGGTTGATACCCCAAACGGGTCGTTCCACAGCACAGCCTGTCACAATCTCCCATTTGTCGCCGAGAATGGCATCTTGCCTGGAATGGAAGTCGCAGACAGTTCTTCAGGGAGATTGCGCAGCCATTTTGGCGTCTTCGCTCGTTGGGACAGACGCAACAGGGTCACGAAGTACAGGGTGCCAGGGAGTAGGACCACGCCTGCGGTTCTCTACTTCCCGACTCCTGAAATTGTCCGCCTTGGAGGCAAACTGACCGAAAGCGGCATAGTGATTGTCAGTCGCCCGATTCCGTTCAAGTTTGTCAAAGAGATCTGGTTTTGCACACCAGACCCCGACGATATGTATGCCTTTGAGACTATCGAGACAATCCTACAACATAAACTCGAGCACGAGGTGGTCATGGATTACCATCCCTCTCCAATAACGATAAAATTTCGGAATGAGCGATGCCCTCAGAAGGTCATGAGTGTTCTGTGTGAGTTTTCCAAATGGGCCACACATGACGCCGCGAAGTTGAACTACTTGAGGCTCCTCGCGCAACATGACGAATTTTTCATCGTGAGGATGCTCGCAGACAGTCACGCGTCAGGAAAGCTATCCAACTCGCCAACAAGACCATGCGACCTGAAGAAGAGGCCCCGGAGGCAAGAGATGCAGCGATCAGGACACGACAGTGTCCCGCATGCTTGGAGATGATTCCAGCTTGCCTCGCTCGGTGCACGAGATGTTTCTCCATATTCAAGTCGTGTAGCAAGTTCTAGAGAACAGCTCCACAACGGGACTCTCCTTTGCAGGTCCCGCGTGATGAGATTGCCAGTGCGATGGAGGCAGCTACAGCTACTGCTTCAGGAGGACGAAGAGGCTGAAGTCATGACTATGCATAGTCATTATGGCCGAACCGGAGATGGAAATCGACAGGACTGGCATGACGGATGAAGCTGAACCTGATGAAGACCAACAAGTGGACTATGATGAAGATGAGGACCAAGATGAGATTGCAGGTCACGCCCGGTGATTATTCAAGAAAAACTCTGTCTCACCGGTCCGGTTCTTACTCAGGCAAGAATGTCTATGCAAGTTCACTACTACCCAAATGCTCCGCCAGCATGGTGCATTGATGCCAACTTTGTGTCTTTTACACGCATGGCCTATGTCGTGGTGCTCTGCATGTACAAGTCGTGGATTGGAACTATCAAATGGACCAACCTCAAGTATGAACACATGCGCCTGCTTCCAAAATGGGAAGCGATATGATGCTCTTGGACATTGGCCTACTCTTTGTGAGATCGACCCAGGTACATGCATTTCTCGGGATGTCACCGACGCGGAGATCTTGGCTTACACAAGAGGCCTAAACGATGTTTCAGATCCTGAAGGATGTTTTTTTCCGCTGAATTCTCGTTTCACAGATGGCGCTTAGTCGCTGATCTGTGCAGCGGGAATGGCGCGGACTCTTGGTCCAGATGCCTACAACTGAGTCGTAAGCTGTTGGCTTATGGCAGTTTATTGAGCCAAAAAGCTGCGTATTTAAGCGGAGCACGTATAATTAGATACACTCTGTGCACTCTGCAAGGCAGAAGTGTAAATGAGTTGTTGGTAGAGCACAGTCTGCAATGCAGACCTGTGGTACCTTAATCATGGGTAGTTCTCATAGCTCATATCTTGACACCAACGAAATGTACGAGGCATCGAGGTCTGTTCGCAAATTCCATGCGTTAGGCCTTCGGCCTTGAGCACATGAGAAGAGAGTCGCGATTGTGACCAGCAGACATAAGTGTCTTATTCGCAATTTTGCAACATGTAGGTACGAGCTTTTGATTCCCAATTACAAATGTTGTGACACTTTTCAGAAAATCACGACGGAGATGCCGGTGTCACAAGGCTGAATGAGCAATGGATGATGTGGGCAGTCTGGAGAAAGATCACCATGTATGGTCACGTTCCCTCGCGTTCTCGCTCACGATCCGCTGGGTCTTGATCCTTGCCCTTTCCTTTGCACTTATCATTCCATCGGTTGGCATTGCCTCAGTTTGGAGGTCGGGCTTTGGGTTCTGCCGGTCGGGCAGCGGCGCGTTCCTTCTCAGTGTCGTAGTTGGCTAGCAGCTCGATGGTCGTGGCCGCTGTAGACGACAATCCATTGATCATGATCACTGCTAGATCGATATACAGTAAGTGGCTGCCTCAGCATTGCGAACATGGATTTGCCCGTCACCTTAGCGACGAAGGTTTGCAATACGTCGTAGCAGCTCGCATGCATCTCCCGAGCTGATTGACCTCGAACTTCGAGATAGGTCTTCGGGTTAATACCTCCCTCGGCATTCCCATTTGTTGAGCACCTCGCATGAGCTTGGAGAGTTGATTGATTGGTTCGGAAATTCCGGAACACGTATGTGCCCACTTAATCCGTCCTTGGGTTTCTGGGGCTGCTCAGGAACCGTGACGAGTTGATAACGGGGGGCGTTTGTTAATCAGTCTCCCATTTAGACGACATGCGCTGTGTCTGCTTGGGCTGATGTCTTCCAACTTTGAGCAAAGCTCGCAGCACCTAGCGGCGTAGCATCGTGATTTCCAACCCGTGGAGGTTGCGCGGCAGTGTCTTCGTGAGGAGCTTTCGCTTGTTATTTCTGCATTAGCATGCCACTTGGGTTTTTTGAAGAGTTTGCAGGCGAGTGAAGCGAGCGCTTCGAGCTTATGTATTGTGCGCTTGCGCCATCTTCATCATCCGAACGGAGCATTCTTGACAAGGTTGCTCGGAGGCTGATTGTTGCCAACGGAGGAAAGGTGCCTTGGCTTGTCTGGGCATGCAGTCAGTGTTTGTCATGACATTGCTCAATGGTTGGGTTGATTTACAACATAGAGCTAGTTTGAGCAGAACATCTGAGCAGAGATATCAACCGGCTTCACGAGAGTGTTGAACGTGAATGACTTGTCGTTACACAGATATTTGAATGTCTTCTGCAAGTCCGTGACTTCGCTGATTTTGTTGGATCTGCAGAGTTCGCTCAGTTCTTATATGCGGCCTACGCCCTCGTGATGTGCTTGGCGTTCAGCATACTTCTGCTGTGCCCCTCCCATGTCACCGGTTAAGGTTGTTTCGTTTGTAGCATCGGCCAGGTACCATCTCATCATTATGGCGTGCAACTTGACCACGAATGAACATGCATCTTGAATGCAATGTTCTGTTGAATGGAAGCGGTGAGTCTGACATCCGAACATTAAGCCGAAGGTTCGAGACTATTACATGGAGAGGCCACCTGTATACACCACATCAGGCCGTAACGGAAAGATGACTGGCGGTGCGTGCAGGAACCCGTTCGACATCACCTGCATTGAAAACTACCGGCAAGTGCTTTGCTTCCCGTGCCCACGCCACATTTTACTAATGTTCTTTCATAGGTAGGTTTTCAGGCTGGATGTCGTCGTTGTCGTTCCGAAGTTCGGGATGACTGCCTTTGACAGCTTTGACAGGTATGGGCGAAGCTATCGAGTCGATGCTGGGGCTGCTGTTGATTCCACTCGTGAAGTTGAATAAATTGCCCGGCTCTCTCATTGATCCCAACGTGCTGTTGGATGATTTTTATGGAACTTAAACCACGAAGCAGGGAAGACCTTGCTTGTGCCGGCAAGAGTGGTCAAGCAAGTGTCCTCCAGGCAAACTTTAGTACCATTGAAGTGCGTTTGGCATCTTTTTTGTCTTACTCAAGCTTGCCCGTCAGGCCAGCAGCCTTTCACCAATAGGATTGACTGACTCTGGCGTCGGCTTGCCGTGAGTTAATGCTACTTCAGAGAGGAATGTGTGCTCACAGCGACAACAGGACTTAGCCCCCTTGCTTGCTCGCGCCACACCTTCAAAAGCGCCAGACCTACTCGAGAGGATAAGGGGAAGACTCCAAGTAAGGGCCAGTTGCGAAGATGTAGAGCACTGTTCGTGCAAATTTCCAGCACCGAACCCTCATCGTGAAACCTAAACGGAATATCCAACCTCACCTGACGCGCAATCTGCTTGCTGCGTGCGCTCCAAGCCGCTCAGCATCCGGTTGCTAGAGCCCCGGAGGCTTGTAACATGGACACACCGGAATGGTGGGACCTTCCATATGCTGAATCGGCATCTCCAAATGCCCAGTTTGTTCGCCTACACGAAGCACCACGAACACCGCCAGGCGACGTTCATGGCACGGTCATTGTGCTGCATGGGGGCTATTGGAAAAACAAGTTCGGATTGGACGATGAATATGGCAATGCTGGCACGAAGTCATTGGGATCATTCTTCTGGGCACGGGGTTTTTCAGTGGTGGAAGTCGAGTACAGGAGACGAGACCATGAAGGTGGAGGATGGCCGGGAACGAACGAGGATGTGTTGCTGGCTATAGACTTCCTGTGTCGCTTGAGCAGAGAGGCTCAGGCTCAGAGATCTTCCGACTCCGACAAGAAAGCAGTGGCGCTGCGATCTTTGCGCTCTGAAAGGTTGATTCTTCTTGGACACTCTGCCGGTGGTTGCTTGGCGCTGTGGGCAGCACATAAGCTGGCAGCACGTGGCCTTCAGCCCATCGTGGTTGCCTCTGCGCCCGTAGCAGATTTGATACGTGGATACGAGCTCAAAGTTTCAGATGAAGGAGATGCCGTGGAACGCTACATGAAGCAAGCTCCGACAGCATCTGGTCTAGAAGAATATCGGAAAGCATCGCCTGCTGCGCTTCTTCCCGTGACTTTTCCGCTGTGTGTGGTGTATGGGGACAGCGATACTGACGTGCCGCCAGACTTGGTGAGAGCATATGCCAAAGATGCTAAGGCTTCAGCTCCGGCATTAGTTTCAGTATTGGAGATTCCCGGTGCAGATCATTTTCAGATCGTGGATGCTAGGACTGATATCTGGTTGGCGCGCATTGTTCCAGTGTTAAGGGAGATGATCGGACAGCATTTTGGTCAGGCTGCGGCCTCAACTTTGGAGTGACAACGGAGCAGGTAGTCAGGCTCGATTACACGCCATAGCTGCATGAAGCCAAGCTTTGCATGGAGATCTGCTTCAATCGTCCCGATGTCAGGACAGTATAGCAGTCTAGCAGAGCATCACCGGCCGAAGCTACCCGAACACCGGCATGACCCTTGTAAGTCAGCTGTGGGCATGAGTGCCAGCACCCTGCAGTGGCTCGTGAGCTGATGTCCAAGACTCGGCATGCATTGGCAGCCCTAGAATCCGTGGTCTCCGCAACCATCTGTTTTGTCATTGCTTGCAGACAGAATGCATCAAAAAGGGAGCCAGCCGACGGGACTGTGCTTATTGGAACAGTGCGTCGTGCATGGCCAATGAAGAAACTGCCGGGAAGTTCCTCTGAATCCAGAGAATTCTGTGACCTACAGAACAGCACTGAGCTAATTCTGGCAGCATGCATGCTTGCGTGGCACGGGATTCATCCTTGTCCGAAGCGTGGCTCCAGCTGGAAGTGCATGTGGCATTTGCTGACATGGATTTTGCGCAGCCTCTCACAAGCTCGCTCTCCTTGTCTCTGTCTCTCTCTCTCTCTCTCTCAGCTGGAAATCCCTTTGACTGCTGTTCCTGAAAGGTGGAGCTGTGGGCATGTTGCCGACAAGGGACATTTCCTTAGTGAGCACACTCAAGGAACATGCACTGAAGGCAGCATGGCGAAATGCCGTGGGCTTGCTGCAAGTTGCGGGAAACTTGCTGTCTCGTCCAAACCTAATCACTTACACCCAGGGCATTCGCAGTCTCAGGTACTCTTTCCGTTGGGCAGATGCTGTTGCTTTGCTGAGGCGTCTCCGTATGGAACTCCAGCCAGACACTGTTTGTTTTGGGACCGTCTTAGGGACGTGCAAAAGCTGGCATACAGCGCTGCGTGTGATTGAGACGTTGGACAGTACGTCCATGAGGGTCGGCGAAGTCATGCTGGGTCAGGCAACTACTTCATGTATGCGCCAGATGCTGTGGGAATGTGCTGCGAACCTTCTGCGAAGATCTTCCAATGACCAGAATGCTCCTGACTCGCAGAGTTACACTGCCGGAATTCAAGCTTGTGTCGACTGGCGTATGGCCTTGCAGAAATTTGAAGACATGTCGACGCTTCGAATCTGTGTGGATGATATTGCCACGAAAGCTGCCATGAATTCATTGTCACAAGCTGGGCTTTGGCCGGAGGTGCTTCAGATGTTCAGCCGGTTAGATAGCATTGATCAAATTAGCTTTTCCAGTTGCAAAACTGCATGTGCCAAAAGCGTCAGCTGGGCAATGCCTTTGGCCCTAGTGGATAGTGCATTATTTCTGCAGGTGTCATTGGATATCATTGACTTCAGCACTGCAATTTCCGCATGCGAAAAGAAAGGAAAGTGGGCCAGTTCTATTGCCCTGCTTGGCGATGCTGTGCGGTGCAAACTGCAGACTGACGCTCTTTGCTGGGAAGAGTCGATGCCATCTTCATGGCAGCTGGTTCTTTTCCTCAGAGCCGAGTTGGCTCGCATCTGTCTGCCGGCACGGATAAGTTCGTGCAATCGTGGCATCAGCGCATGCCAACGAGGTAATCAATGGCAGGTTGCGCGGTGTTTGTTGCATTCACATCACGATTGTCTACGACGAGACGCCGTTAGCTACAATTCGGCAGTCGGAGCTTTCCGCATCTCGTCTCAGTGGCAGCCCGCCCTCGCAACGCATGAAGCAATGGCTGACGCTTAGCTACAGGATCCGGTTGGTCCCTTGACGTGTCTGCTTTGTGTGAGATCTGACGTTGTCGTGGAGAGAGAAGCCTGGTTCCAAAAGCAAGCTGGAGCTTCAGGAAAATGCGAAAACCACAGTGGCGGGCCGGCATTCCGAAGGATTTCGAACAACAATTCGCAAAACTGAAAGTACCGATTCAGGAAGCAGCATCCATGAACCCTTAGCTTTGGGAAATCGTCTTCCGACTTTCTGCCCGAGTTCTCCGAATCGTTCTTGAGCTTTAGTGTTGTTCCTTCCTTTTTGTCCGACTTTGTCTGCAGCGTTGGGTCAAACAAAAAGCGATTGAAGCTACACGAAAAAGGGGACAATGTCTACATGATGATGGTATGGCCTTGCGAACGTCAGAGGTTCAACAGCTTCGTGGTGAGGGTACTTCACGTAGACGCGTTTGGCCAAGTGTTGTGCCCAAAGCATAAACATAGAATTGGAACTTGGGATGGCAGGACTCGTTACTGCCAAGTTTCAATCATGTCAACATTGTTAATCGTTCACACATGTGAGAAGAAGTGTGCGAGCCTCTCTTGCAACATGAACCTCAGAACTTTCGTGGCTTCTCAACCAGCCATTGTTTCTTGGACTGGAGATGCGTGCGGCCGTCCTCGAAAATTGTAACACAATGCACAGGACGACGTTCCGCTCTCGTTGAAACACTTTGGGCAACTGTCCCATCAAGGTCGAGCTCTTCCGCATGAAAGCAAATGTTGGCAATCTGTGAGGGTTTTGCCAGAGCATGGCTCCGAACGATGCTAACACTGCGCTTGGAGCCTCGTGGCCGAGCACCCGAAACCTGCCTGCCTTCGTTGCCGTCAAGCGAGCTGAGCTAGTGCACCACATCATGAAACAGGAACATGCAGGGACAATCGATGCCTACTCCTTTCTCAAATCCATGGTCGGGTTGCTTGTAGCATGCATGCTTCCGACTATCGGAGTAACATCTGCTAACCTCTTGCACACGAGAGTCGCAGAATGTCGCAGAATGCTCAGGAAGATGCCGTGGTGCCAGATTCCGCATCCAAGACAATTGTGGCCAGTTCAGTTGGAAGATGCTCATCCTGGCCCCATGCGCTCTTTCTGGCGACCAGGCAGCTTGTCTTCACATCGCGACCAACCATTTGTGTGCGCAACGCGGTTTCGCAGTGACCTAGCAGTGACCATGTTGCCATAGCTTCTTCACGTCGTATTTGTGTAGGAGTAGCCTGCAGCACGGCCTGAGCACTGCTGTCTACCTTCTTGTGGGTAGAAGTAGTGTTCAAGTGTGTGGGCGGTATTTTGCCAAAAATCCAAACCCTTTTGAGAGTTTGGAACGTTTTGTTTGGCCTTACAGGACGCAAGCCTAGCCTAGTCGCTACAGGAGCAGGGGCCCGCTTGCGCATCAGCTAACTTTGTTCGAACTTAGCTTTGGGGCATTCCTTCGTCGAGTTTTACAGGCACTCAGTTAAGAAATTACGACCCCTTTG